CCCCCCCCCCCTCCTTTCCCACCCCTTCCTGAGCCTCTCCCCCGCAGACGACCCCACGAAACCGCCGAGGCATCGAGTCAATCCCCCTTGCCTATCGAGAGAACTGGTCCATTTTTGGAAGAGGAGGATTAGGACCCAGACAAGCCAGATGGTGGAGACAGATTCCACTATTCGATCGAGTGGAAGGTGAGACTGAACGGCAAGGCCGATGCTAACCAGTCCGAACCCAACATAGTCGTTTTTTTCGACCGCTATTGGAGGTTAGCTTCGCAAGACCGGCTTGAGGAAGTCGTGCGTAGGAGGTTTCCGAAGAATCGACGAATACAGCACGAGCACACCGCGGTGGTGGTCTCAGTCACGGAGCGTTCACAGCGAGACCTCTCCAAAGAATATGAGAGAACCGAGATCGATTGGGCCGTGGCGAATAGGCAACTGACAAGACACTCCGGGCCAGACCTCTCCTTCAATTTTGTGGAACAGAATGCGCAGTCGGCAAGCCGGTCTGCCAGAAGAGGCGAGAGGAGAGGACGGACGTCAGCCAGCAGTGGCATGCTGGCGCAGCGGGACTGAGAGATGGCGGCAGAGGAAGAAGAAACAGGAGAGCCGCCCATCTGGCCCGACGTGTATGCATTCATGCACTATCCGACGTTCTGTGATTCGTGCCCCCACTGTTGGATTGAGGACGCTGCGGGAACCTCACGAGCCTATGCCTAGACTGTTGGACCTTGTGAACTACCTCGCTCAGCACTTCCTTCAACAGTTGGGCTCTTGTCCTGGAGATGACTATCCCCGTCATGCGCGGCGAGCTCGGCTGACATCTTCAACTCCTCCGCTGTCAGTCCGTGGCGTGTGTCCAGCTCTTCGCCTGCGTCCGAGTCCTCGTCCTCGTCCTGTGCAGCTTGCACATCGCCGACGATCGACATATTTCCATCCCCAGTGTGTCGCCCCAGGGACTGTCGAGTCTTGTTGTGGTCCGGGGACAGGAAAAAGGAATGGTCTTGAGCCAACTGTTTTCGGTCGCAGATGTAACCCACGGGCGTGTGGGCGAAATCTTGGCCTCGACCTCGGGTTCCGAGCTAGGAGTGAAGGAACGTAAGCATCCGCATTTCTCTCAGCTTGGCGGTGCGGACCGCCTTCGTGCACGCTGGGTCATCTCGTTCGGTTGAATCCAGCATCTCCACCGTCTGATGGTCGTGATCTTGGCCGTCCGAACATTCGAGCGATGATGCATGCATGGTGGTAGCTGGATCGTCCTGAGAGGGGCTTGCATCATCGCTCGACAATCCTAGAAATGCACGGATGGGGGCAAGTTCCTCGAAAGGAAAGTAGAGCCTGCCGGCGAAAATACCGACCTGGATTTTGAACCACAGGGGTGCTGCCCAGTCGGACGGCAGTGGGGGGACCGAGTAATAGTTCAGGTCGTTGAACTGTGGCATCTTCAGAGGGACGGGTGCCGCGTAAGTCAAAAGATGCACCACCTGCTGAGGTGCCGCTCGGCACAACGGAATGAGCTCTGCTGCCTCTTCAGGGCTGACCAGGACGGTATGGTGCGTGGTCACACTCCACGGGACCCATTGGACTGGACGCTGCCCGGAAGTTAGTAAGAAGACTTGTGTCTGAGGAGGCCACAGCACAGGACTCACCAGAAAGTCATCATTGATCTTGCCGGACGGTACCACGACGGCT